CGTTCTTTGCCGTGCTATGTAGCTGCCTACTTATCACGTTGCCGCAGACATCGTCGTATATTTTCAATGTAGTGTTTACGGCAGCAACAACGTCAAAAAGGCAGCAAAATCAATTAAAATTATTGGCAGTTTTCGCCTCCTGGCAATGTGAGGTGCGACTCGCAGTCACACAAAAATAGCTGAAGGTGCTCGTTGGCTGAGTGCTTAAATAGCGAAACTGATCGAAATTTAGAGATATTAAATCACACAAATGGTGTGTGGAACAGTGATGTGGATCGGGAATTTATTGGCGCAAAAATATGGAAACTATATCTTAAGATACAATAAGATGAAGGTGAGGGAAGTAACCATATCCTTATGTCCTTATGTCCGAAGGTAACTCTACGAACTCGTTGCATTTTAATTGAAGCCCAGACCTTTTCCACCTGCTCTTTTCATTGCAAAGGAGGCCTTCCTCACCCTCTACTACCGCCAATGGATACTTTGGGAGCTGGAGCGTTTTGTCCCTTTATACCCCACGACCAAGCCAGCGGAGTCACTCTGTACAGCTGATCGTTTCATCGTCTGCGGTATTTACCATTGCCAACGCGTGGATCCGTAATTGTTCCGTAGAACTCCCGAACACACAAAAAGCCGCCTCATCGGATGTTACCATTGTCCAAGTTTCTGCGACATACACCAGAACGGCCAGGACCATTGACTTTTATACATTAAGAGAAGATTTTACTCCTCAGTTGCCCTGTCAGTCCAGTGTAGCACTTGTTGGCAAGTGTGCTACTGCTGATTGCCATATATACGAATAATTCACTTTTTTTTAAATTATTACTGTCAACGTGACGTGAGTTCCCAGACGCAAATTCGCTGTCTGCTTGCTTGATGACAGGAGATACTTCTTCTGCTAATCGTTCCCTTCCATACCCATCCACTTTGCCCCACGACGAGGATACAAGTAGACCATAAGCAGCTCTTTGTGATATCGCTACGAAAGGTAAAGAAGTTTCGCGGGCGGCAGATATCGGAGAGTTCCTCCGGGATGTTAAAATAATTGTAATCTCAGATGTTTAGACGGCAGTCTACATAGAAAAAGCTTGGTGTTTTAACGACTCCCCCGTTATCCTCCATGCATCTGCGACAAAGAGGATCCGGTATGAAATTTAGTCTCGCCGCCTGAATTCCAAATAGACAGTGTCCCTTAAATGCATCCAATGCAATTAAGAGCTGCGGCTTTTTGAACCTAAGGAGGTTCTAGACCGTCTTCAGATTTTGTCAAACTTTCGCTCAGCTGACGTGAGGCCTATGTATCTCTCCAAGAATGGTCCAGATGTAAGCAAAGGCACTTTTCTTTTTGAGATTGGCTTGAGGGTGCCTTCTTTGGCCAATTCGTCAACTACGCAGTTTACTGCTATAGCGCTGTGGCATGGCACCCATATAAGTCTGACAAAGAAATATTGTGTCGCGAGAAACAGAAATCTGCGATTCTCAAAATAACTTCGAGCGCGTCGCAAGCGAGCTCAGATCTCTGGTAGAGACGTGGTTATCAGAGTAGATATGTACTCGCGCTCCTTACCGCCGTTGCGCACATCAGCACTCACCTGTACGTCCTACTGTAGCCGTTGCTGCTGAGACCTTATATCATATATGGGGCAAAATTCGTCAAGTGTACCAATAATAACATTCTATGGCAGCATTTTGTTCAAACTCGACCACGGTGTTGCTATGGTTACTGGTCACTAATGTGTAAAAGAATTCCTTTCTACCGTGGTTTTTTATCGAGTTATACTTACGAGTTTAAACGTGCAAATTTTAGCCTTTTTCTTAGAGTCACAAGTTTCCTTAAAACTCTTATCTCATGTCACACTTATGATAGAGAAGCAAAAATTGCTGACCTAATAGAACTTTTTCCATGCTTTTTGGTGGAAACTATAATTTTTTGGTAAAAATTTTTTTTGCAAAAAAATTTGCAATAAAAAAAATTTTATTGCATTTTTTAAACAATGTATAATTTTTCTTTTTTTCAAATGGCTTATTTCGATAGCTTATTTTTTAAGCTTTCTAACGGTTTATAATTCGTATTGGGCGTAGCACAAGGACTACAAGTTTTTCATCATAGAACGCACTCGGGACCGCCCTTCGCGTTTTTGAGATCTGAGATAAAGTGCGCTCACTTAATTGCAATTTTCTTTGGACAACCGCGACATTTTTGTATGAATTTTTATGAAAAAATTTTTGTTGAATCCGAATACGAAATCAGAATACAAAAACGTAGCACGAAATTTTTGTTGAATCCGAATACGAAATCAGAATACAAAAACGTAGAACTATTTTTTAGATATTGCTAATTTCTTTTTCAGAAGAAAGAATTAGGGTGTATCACTATCCATACAAAAAAATTGGTACTGTTTTTCCATAGGAATTATAAAATTTATTATATTTTAAGACTTCCGCCGAAATCTTTGGCAAAAATAGTTAGATATATGTTTGTGAGCTGGACCTGGATACCTCCGAAAATCGATATCTTTTATAAATAAGAATAAGTTTTAAAAATATTTTTTCTAAAAAATTAACTTAGATGATGAAAGAGTTTAGGGTTAAAAGGTCTGCATAAAAATATTTAAAAATTGTGTCGATGGTACCAAAAAAAAATAGTTTTTTAGAGGTATTTTCCAATTGGTCTACCTCACGTACATCTTAATATTTTCTGATATATTTGTGCGTAACTTTTTTGGTGCTGCACCTACCTAATATATGTGTTTAAGATTTATTAAAAGTTTTCCCAAACCGAAACACAGCTCTACCTATTCTGCCGGTTCATTTAAACACTATTGCTGACTGCAAAATTTTGAACAAGACCGAAGGAACACTCGCGGACAGCAAACGTCGCCGTAGTATGACAACACAGTTTCGGACAATACGCCTTGTCTATGTATTATGAGTGCACGTGGGTGCGCGAACGATGGACAGCCACTTCAATGACAAGCGTGAAACCAATGAGAGGCAATAAACCCAAAGGAGTCAACATGGGCACGCCGAACAGGGAATCGTGTAGCACTTATCAGCATGGCGACATCGCCGCTTTATCTGCGGCTCATTTTGGGGTGTTTTGCGAACACGAAACCACCGAAACTGATTGAACAGAAATGATAAATATGAACGAAGAGAGAACCTACATAAATGCACTTACACTTTTACATATGGATGTACATTAGGGTGTATCACATTCCATACAAGAACAAAGTGGTACTGTTTTTCCATCGGAATATTAAAATGTACTAAATTTTAAGATTTTCGCTAAAATATTTCCGAAAACTATTAAAACGTACTTGATCTGACCGATTTGAAAATATTGCCAATAATTTCATTATTTCGATTCCGCTGATAAAATGTCCAAACTAAATGTTTTAAGCGTAAACTCTTCCATTAACCGATTTGATTTTTTTTTTTTTTTTTAATTTTATTAAAACCTACTTTTTGGTAATTTTTAGGGGTCTTTTAAAATCGGTTCAGCTCACGTATATATTAATATTTTTTCGAAATATTTTGGTGAAAGACTTTAAATATAACAAAATGTATTTTACCGGTGGAAAATCTGCGAGTTTTTTTTTTTTTTTGGTGAGGCACGCTAATGTACATACATACGTTCGTTCGAAAATGTCTGTTTTGCAATTTCATTATTTACACTTTTAATTAAATTAATTACGACTACATATTTACAAAAAACTACTCTAAACTTGACTAAATTGCACTTAACACATTTTTAAATTCCTTGTACAGCGAGCGCTTATTTCACATAATTTCATTACCAATCAGGTAATCATCATTTGCACTTCAGTTCATCAACATGCCTCATCTTTCCGTGCTATCATCGGGACCTGTCAACCAAATTGTCTGCTATCAATTTCATTGCTATTCTTTTCACAATTACAATCTGCACCTTCTCTGCGTCCACTTTTCGATGTCAATATGCGTACGCCTTCAGCGAATTTCGGAAATCCCGCCATTGATTCCTTGAACGTGGTCATCATCACCGGTAGATACATGAAAAAGTCCTTCACATGTGAAAATAACATATTGTAGTCCATTTGGTTAGTGTTGCTGCGAAATAGGTTGCCGCGTGCGCCGCCAAAGCTGCCGCCACCCCTGCTGGCGTTGTCATCGTAGTCGATGTCGTTTGAGTGCGTTGGTGCCGCATGCACGAAGTATAAGTTTTTGTTGAATTCACATCCAAAAAAACTCTCGGGAACATTTCTACTTACGCAGCAAAATCACTGTTGTAAGCGCGAATATGCTGTGCTTCATATTCGTTTTGGGTTTTGTTGTTGTTTATTTTTTTTTATTAAATTAGCACTGCTGCTACACTTTGGTTTCTTCTACGATTGTTGCTGCTGCCGTTTTCACAGAAATGACCCTTGCTCGGAAGCACTTGGGTTTTTATAAATTTTGCTAGCAGTTTTTTGCTACATTCGCATATTTTTGTCAGCAGGTGTTGCATTATGATACATATATGTGCAGCTTTTCATTGGCTCAAGTATTAATTTGCAAAATTTTATTATTAATGTCATCACTTAAATGCATAATTTTAGTCTTATATTCATTTTTAAGCTTTTCCGCGAATTAAGTTGTTCTTCGCAACTATAAAGTTAATTGGAGGTCATTTGGTAACACCTACATACGCTATTTACGGTGTAGTGAGGTTAAGGTGATTGGCCTAAACCCAGGGAATCCCAAAGTATGTGCTGGCATCTTAGGCCCTCTTGCTTAAAAGTGGAGCCACTTGCTGGATGTTTTGTTGTTTTTTTTTTTTGCAAGCTGTGGTCATTCGAGAAATCAGTGTTTGAAGGAAAAGTACCGAAGAGACCGTCCTTATGATTTGAAGCAACCATGTCCCGTCAAAATTCGGTGGAAATTCACTTCCTTATTTTGTCTACTTACCAGGCTTGATATGAAGGGGGTCAGGTGGTACGTCCAACGACCGCGGGCTGTGCGATCCCATCTCACTTGCCATTGCTCCAAGCATCTCTGCGACTCCTCTCTGCGTATAGCCTGATTTATTAGACTGGAGGCGGTGACTCTTGCCACCACTAGAGCTGCTCCGGGCGTAACTCAGAATGCGCTGCTTGCTTTGATTGCGCAAAATCTATAAAATGACTTGGCCTTTCGTACATATGACGTCTTTCTAAATGCTTCATACCAGATGTGTGCACCATAAAAGAGGACACTCTACACGACGCTTGCATATATGCAGATGTCTCCACTGCGCCTTCTACATTCAAGAGACCTCTTTTTATTGGTGCTGCCATTTTTTCAGCTTTCCTAATCGGGTAATCAAAGAACGTCTTAAAAGTAAGACTCGTATCAAGCATGATGCCTACGTATTTAAGGGCCGTCTTTCCTATTGTCCTACACGTATAGATGCTACTTCGCTGACCTTTTCACTCATTTAGGCAAATTTATATATACATAGTATATATATAATAATGCCTCGGATGAGTCCCCCTTCTTTGATGACGATCACTTCGAACGGACTACTTTGTTTTGTGAGAAGCACCCGGAATGTTAAAACCCTTAATGGGGAAGGTGCCTCTGAAGACTAAGGTGGATATCACCGCCATGCAAGAAATGTGATGGACAGGGCAATGCAAAAATCAGGTTGGGTCTTGTGACGTTTATTACAGCTGCCATGTGAAGAAGCGCAAATTTGGTGTTGGATTTGTGGTGGGAGACAGACTTCGTCGCCGACTCCTGTAGTTTACCCCAGTGGAAGTCAGAATCCACTTTAAACCTATATTCTAGAACATCTAGTTTATATGTTCCCACGCCTCGATGGAAGAGAAGAACGTGGCGACCAAAGACCTTTGCTATGAGCGCTTGAAGCACCTTTATGAGAGGTGTCTTAGGATATCCTCACGAGAGGAGGATCGACACTCTCTTTGTCGAGCCGTTCGATACTGAAACGACTACTTATCGTATGACTCAAGCAAAAGTTGGCGCATCTGCATCGCTGCATATATTTCACAGCCGACAATTGAAAAATAAATAAAGTTATGCCTAATGTTATACGGCGCAGAATCAAGGACACCGATAACATCCGATGGCTCCTAGAGTGCTTAAGTATAAGAGTCTGCGGTATAAAACGATTTCCAAGATTAATTATTTTCCTCGGACACCTATAGTAAATAATATTTAGAAACACATTTTCTCAAATCCGATTTTAACTCATTATCTTTACCAAAACGCGCATTTCCGGCGCAGTCTGTAAAAAATGTCTAATCAATGTGGAAAGGAAAATTCATAATGCATAATTTATTGTTATGAGATAGAGAGCTAACTTGGCGGGGCAATGTTAAAGAGCATAGCAAGAAATCTATAACTGCCCTGTACGCCTATTCTGTCTTATGGCATCATGGTCTTGTGGGCGTCCGTGGATAAATACACAATAAAAAAAACTTACAAAAGTTCGAAGGACGGTTTGCATAATCACGGGGGCTATTAGAATAAACGTGTTAATCAAGTGGAGTGATACAAGAAATCTGGAATCTTCAGGCGCCTGTAGAATGAAGGGGTGAAGGAGAGGAGGATTCAGTCCTGATCTGATTCAGCAGTCACCTACATTTATGGCTTCAAGTTAGATCTGAAGGTAGGTATTGGGATATCAGTTTTCGTCTGCCAGACCTTTACAGTTATATTTCAAGCTGAACTTACAGCAATCAACGAAGCTACAAGATGGCTGCGGAACCCACGTGCAAGATATCAAGGTATAGTTTAATGTGGATGAGAGTAGATCTCGACCACTCCTCTGCTTGGAGCGACCACTGCTCCGCCATGTAATTGGAATTCTCACCGGGCACTGCCTGATGGGAACCCACGCTATTAGAAGGGGTATGCAGTCAAATGATTACTGTTGTAGCTGCCTGGGCCACTCTCCCGCTTTGACGAGGGCTTGTAGATGCTCGTTCCTCTACTATTCTCCTTAGACTCTGACTGAACTGGATTCATGTAGCCTCAACGATTTTGTGCGCTTCATCAGAGCTAAAAATTGGTTATATTACTAAGGTCAGAGGAGAGACATCGTAATTGGCCCATGGTGGTCAAAAAAACCTATCCTAACTACCACGTATGATATAATTTTCCAACTAAATATAACTGTACCATTTGCAAAAAGACATTTGCATAAAATTTGTACATTTTCATAAAATTTTAAGGGCCATTTTCTCAAGTAGTTTTTAAAATTTCTCGGCCCTTTAAACGTAACTTTTGTACCCTAAAATTGTGTTTCAAGGGGCATAGAAATTTTAAGGGTTACTTCCGAATACGGCTCTAAATATATTTGATTTCTTATGAATTAGAGTACTAGAGTATAAAAATATGTATGCACCTTCAACGATGCGTCGATGTTGCTCCTCCGGCTTTACTCATTTCTTTACTTAATCCAAGGCTGATTTTATTTCCGCCTAAACAAGTAAAGAAAATATGTATGTGCATGCGTAAATTAGTTCCTCCGCTCGTTACAATTTTATGTACTTCTTAATCAATTTAATTTTGTAAAATTTTCTCATTTTACTTCTTCTTCCTGCCCGTCAACCTATTCGAAATATTTAGCTCTCCGCTCATCAGTCGCATCTGCATCCTCATCAGTGGGAATAATCTCGAATGACAGTGATTGATGCTTACGAAATTTATGTGATACATTACTAAAAGGCCCTCACCCTTTCCATTAACTAACGCTACAAGTACATATACATATATGTATAGTAAATGTGTCCATATGTATCTGTAGGCATACACAGCTTTCAATTCATCAACGACAATGACAATAGAAAACAACTAAAAGGGCGAGCGATATACATACAAATACATAATTTTTTAAATAAATTTTACTTTTTTAGGTTGTAATTTTTTTCACTATTTACACGGTTTTGGAGCGAGTTAATTTCGTAAATTTGTTGCAATAAAATCTATCAGAATATTCGCATTTTAATAATACGCACTCACACATTTGCATCAAGGACATTCTCATATAAAAGTCTTCAACCAATGAGCTTTTTCCATCCTCAAAAGTTCGGTGAGCACAATTGTCAAATTTTAATCTTCAAGTGTCGATTCCCTCGAATAAGTAATGAATAAATACATAACATTAAATTTGAAGCGATGATTTTGATTAATGTTGATACAAACTGTTGACAATTGTTTGTCATTTGCGTTCTGCTCGTGCTTGAAAGCTCGTGTTGTCGCCATTTGAGGTTCTCAGCATTCTCCTCCAACAAAGTGCCCAAAAAAAAAGGGAAAGCAATTGGTTGGATGTGGGGTAGCAATTGGTAATGGAAAGCAAATAAGTACACCAACTGAGTGCATGAGTAATTATTGTGCTTCTTAAGTGATTGAGCTATCAAATCCTATTTGAAGAGAAGCGTATTTTAGCTTAGCATTAGTTATAAATGATTTTGTGAAAAGTGACAATCTCAATGAGTTGCTTGTTAGAGTTGGACGTTTTTTTGGCGTGCATAAGTATTTTAAATTTTTGGGTAAACATCGCTCATTGAGCATGATTGAAAGATAACTAAATCTATTATAAAACATAAACTAAACAGATTTAATGGAATAAGGTTCACACTCGTTCGTGGGTATAATTTTCACCCTATCTAAACGAAATTTACTTATTACGAGGATCACTCAAAAATTCTTTAGAATAACTAAGCAAAAACTTAAATAAAATTTATCCAGTACATCTGACATCCTCAAAAATTTAAACCTGTATTAGAACTTGTCCAATTTTTATAGAAAATTTTCGGTAAGGAATAAACATGAAATAATAATACATACAACCTCTAGCCATTACGTGACTCCTTCAATTTATCGCTGAAAAATCGCTTAAATATGTATCGACGCAATAACCAAGCCATTTGTAAGTAGAATCCAAGATAAAATTAAAAGTTATAGAGTAATGGCAAATGGGGATCACCCATCCTGCCAAGATGTCAATGCCAATTTGCCTAAGTTTAGACGATTATCCTTCGTCTTGACCTCGTTCACCTCTATACACATTCGTTTTGCTTTTTTAACCAATCAAGAAACGTACATACATATGTAATTAGTGCTCGGTATTTAAATAAACGTCAAAATCTAGCAATTGTATGATCATGTTAAAACATGGTACTTGAGCGATTTCATTCTGCTGTCCATCTTATATTCTCGATAATAAGATTAAGGATGTCGCCGGTCGGAGCAGTTTTACCCAATTTCGATCAATGTTGGCAGTATTATTTATAAATAAGTAGCAGCAGAATGGGGCAGTGCTATCATCTAGATATGATTTATGCTCTGATCCAGGGTTGCTTGAGCCTAGTGGCTAAATCATCTGGGAACAGCGGATTCGCTATAAATTTTAGAAAGACACTTTCCTCGATTAGGGAACGTTCTCCTGTGGTGATTTGTACTAGAGAAGACCAGTTAGAAAATTGCTGACAACTTGGTTGTTCCAAGACAGACGTCCAATAAAATAGGCCCTTAAAAATAGTACGTGGGAGTAGCCCTACGATAGATTCCAAGTTACATTTACTGGCAACAGTTACTCCAAATCCGATGACGATCTTGGGCAGGTGGGCTTTTAGTCGGTTCTGTGAGAGCTAGGCAAAACTCTACTGGCAAAAAGTCGACCCGACGGACCAAAGAAGCTTCTTCAGCTGGCTAAGCACCAACTCTCGGTCCAAGACAGGCATTATCCAATAGGAAATCCTGCGGGACGACTAAATATCGTATCAGACCCTTTCTGTCGTAGCTGCTTTGGAGGATGGCGGTGAAATAATCGCTGTATTTACTCCTCAGTATCTTTCCAAGCCATCTAGGCTCGTACCACATCGACACTACCGAGAAACTGACTGAGGTAGACATGAGATACATGCGACCCATTTTTTAATTCCACTGTCGTCTGAGGTTGCTTTTATTGTGCTACCGCCTCGCAAAATTTTGTTGTAATTTCTTTTGTTTAATTTTATATCCGACTATTGTTTTTTCATTGTTTTTACAGTAGATTTCGGCAGGATTTTATAGGATTTCATATGTCGGCATAGCAATGAAAGTTTTTTGGTTACTTGTTGGAAGCTACATACATCCATATGTATATATACTCGCACACACATAGGAAGAGGAAGGAAAAGGATGTGCGAAATGGCTGAAACGCCAGTCAGTCGAAGGTGGCGAATATGAATAAAATAAATATGCAGAGTCAAGCAAACTTAAGGAGTAAATATAAAGGAGCGAACGTTAAATATGTACATACATGCATATGTACTTATGCCTCTCTACATGCAAATATGTATAAATGTTTACATTTCCTACATGTCATTTGTATTGTGCTACCGGAATCCTCATTTTATTTCGGGATGAGCAGGTATAATGTGTGGCCAAGTACAGATTGATCCTTCCTTAAGCTGTCACTGTACT